GGTGGTCACATGACCGGTGCCGTGTGTAACAACATGGATGACAGAACACGGCAGCGGCATACCTTGGCAGAAGTCGGGGAAGAGGCGGTCCAGCTGAGCGTGCGTCTCCTCCAGGACGTGGAAGCGCGTCGGATCTGAATGAGGAAAACAGCAAGACAGAGGAATGGTCGGCTGCAACTTCCTCCTCACAGCCCCCTGCAGTGCCGACTACACATCAGAGGACTCACCTGAGCTCCGGGACTTCCTATGAAGGATTTCTGCATGGACCACGGACCTCACGATGTCCACGCTGCCGGCTCCTTCATGTAGAACCACCGCCAGCCGGCCTGCCAATCACAGAACAGGACTTCAATCAGCGTGTGCGAGGGCTCGGGGTATATATCATGGCAGTGTACGGTCAGTGGGGGGTATATATCATGGCAGTGTACGGTCAGTGGGGGGTATATATCATGGCAGTGTACGGTCAGTGGGGGGGATTTATCATGGCAGTGTACGGTCAGTGGGGGGGATATATCATGGCAGTGTACGGTCAGTGGGGGGTATATATCATGGCAGTGTACGGTCAGTGGGGGGTATATATCATGGCAGTGTACGGTCAGTGGGGGGTATATATCATGGCAGTGTACGGTCAGTGGGGGGGATATATCATGGCAGTGTACGGTCAGTGGGGGGTATATATCATGGCAGTGTACGGTCAGTGGGGGGTATATATCATGGCAGTGTACGGTCAGTGGGGGGTATATATCATGGCAGTGTACGGTCAGTGGGGGGTATATATCATGGCAGTGTACGGTCAGTGGGGGGTATATATCATGGCAGTGTACGGTCAGTGGGGGGTATATATCATGGCAGTGTACGGTCAGTGGGGGGTATATATCATGGCAGTGTACGGTCAGTGGGGGGTATATATCATGGCAGTGTACGGTCAGTGGGGGGTATATATCATGGCAGTGTACGGTCAGTGGGGGGTATATATCATGGCAGTGTACGGTCAGTGGGGGGTATATATCATGGCAGTGTACGGTCAGTGGGGGGTATATATCATGGCAGTGTACGGTCAGTGGGGGGGATATATCATGGCAGTGTACGGTCAGTGGGGGGTATATATCATGGCAGTGTACGGTCAGTGGGGGGTATATATCATGGCAGTGTACGGTCAGTGGGGGGGATATATCATGGCAGTGTACGGTCAGTGGGGGGTATATATCATGGCAGTGTACGGTCAGTGGGGGGTATATATCATGGCAGTGTACGGTCAGTGGGGGGGATATATCATGGCAGTGTACGGTCAGTGGGGGGTATATATCATGGCAGTGTACGGTCAGTGGGGGGTATATATCATGGCAGTGTACGGTCAGTGGGGGGGATATATCATGGCAGTGTACGGTCAGTGGGGGGTATATATCATGGCAGTGTACGGTCAGTGGGGGGTATATATCATGGCAGTGTACGGTCAGTGGGGGGGATATATCATGGCAGTGTACGGTCAGTGGGGGGTATATATCATGGCAGTGTACGGTCAGTGGGGGGTATATATCATGGCAGTGTACGGTCAGTGGGGGGGATATATCATGGCAGTGTACGGTCAGTGGGGGGTATATATCATGGCAGTGTACGGTCAGTGGGGGGTATATATCATGGCAGTGTACGGTCAGTGGGGGGGATATATCATGGCAGTGTACGGTCAGTGGGGGGTATATATCATGGCAGTGTACGGTCAGTGGGGGGTATATATCATGGCAGTGTACGGTCAGTGGGGGGGATATATCATGGCAGTGTACGGTCAGTGGGGGGTATATATCATGGCAGTGTACGGTCAGTGGGGGGTATATATCATGGCAGTGTACGGTCAGTGGGGGGGATATATCATGGCAGTGTACGGTCAGTGGGGGGTATATATCATGGCAGTGTACGGTCAGTGGGGGGTATATATCATGGCAGTGTACGGTCAGTGGGGGGGATATATCATGGCAGTGTACGGTCAGTGGGGGGTATATATCATGGCAGTGTACGGTCAGTGGGGGGTATATATCATGGCAGTGTACGGTCAGTGGGGGGGATATATCATGGCAGTGTACGGTCAGTGGGGGGTATATATCATGGCAGTGTACGGTCAGTGGGGGGTATATATCATGGCAGTGTACGGTCAGTGGGGGGGATATATCATGGCAGTGTACGGTCAGTGGGGGGTATATATCATGGCAGTGTACGGTCAGTGGGGGGTATATATCATGGCAGTGTACGGTCAGTGGGGGGGATATATCATGGCAGTGTACGGTCAGTGGGGGGTATATATCATGGCAGTGTACGGTCAGTGGGGGGTATATATCATGGCAGTGTACGGTCAGTGGGGGGGATATATCATGGCAGTGTACGGTCAGTGGGGGGTATATATCATGGCAGTGTACGGTCAGTGGGGGGTATATATCATGGCAGTGTACGGTCAGTGGGGGGGATATATCATGGCAGTGTACGGTCAGTGGGGGGTATATATCATGGC